AAATTAGAAATCAATGACACCGTATGATGAAGGAAACTAAAACAGTTTTTTTTTCAGTTAGAATGCACAAAGGTGTAGATATGGGCACAATGTAAATATACAGATAAATGGATATAGCAAAATAAAATCCTTTTGTCTTTATTAATAAATATATTCATAATACATTATATTTGCTCCTGAATATTTCAAGAACTGCATGAAATTCCGAGTCATTCTATCGACGTCGGATATTATGTATATTTACTAATATATATATATATATATATATATATATATATATATATATATATATATATATATATATATATATCAATTGATAATTAGTAGGGATAATTCCACGAAGGACATTAATCCGAAGCGAGCTCAATGTAAGAACAGAGCAATATAACAATAAGTACAGACGATCGGTAAAATCAATTCGGCTATAATTTATTTCATATATATATATATACAAAAATATATCCATTTTCTTTTCATTTTATTTTGAAAATGTCACAGTGAAGAACATATTTTTGTATATTTATGAAACAAATTATAACCGAATGAATTTTAAGATTCTTCACTCACACACACATATATATATATATATATATATATATATATATATATATATATATATATATATATATATTCATTCTCCTAACAACCTTGTGATGAGGTTCTGATGGAATGTTACTATTCACACGGGTTTATGTCTTAGCCGTCACTGTGTTTAATTATTGCTTTATTTGTGGCTCATATCTTTCGAAATCTCACTTGATTCAGGAATCGATTTGCCGTATAGTATATTTATCAACTTTTGTCATACGTCAGCATCTTTATTGGGAAATAATATTGATTGTTTTGTTGCTCAAATCATAATAAAATAATGTGTTGGAAGAAGGTATTTTGCTCAATTAGTATGCCTTAACCGCCATTTTATATCGATTATGAAATTCATTTTTGAAAGTGATAATACAATAATTTTTGCTTCTCTTTACTTTCACAAACAAGTTTTAAAATTATGACTGCGAGTTTCGAGTGAAAGGCCAGGGAAATGGAGTCTGTTCTTAATGTTACGTTCATAAGTAATATGTACAATGTTGTTTTCTGAAAGGATTTTTTACATCATTTTTTAAAATTCATCTGTGATATATCAAATATGCATATTAGGTTTTGCGAAATTATTAAAGCATTTAAAGATTATCAGGTCTAGGAACGTGCCCTGTAGACATTGAAGAGAGTGGAACCGAGAGGCGAACCCATAACTATGCCGTCGGGCTGGTCAGAATGTAAATTTCACTATAACGAATATAAAAGTTACAAGATATGTATCAATATTTGTGTGTATGCAGTGTGTCTCAGTCTGTGTATGTGTAAGCTCCAGAATGGCGTCTCGCGGTCTCTGACTGCGCACGCCTCCTGTCAAACCCTCTGCCACGGCAGAGAGGAACCCGGACGAGGCTTTGCCGAAGGGCAAGGTTTCGTCCGGGGAGGTAGACAGGGCCTGAATCCGTCTAATCGTCTTCAAAAGGCTATTTTTTTTGGCTGAGCCTACGGGCTCGGAGAAACCCACAATAAAACCGGCCTTGTGCCATATTCGTTTCCGTGGGTGAAATGATAAATATGGTATATGTAAGCTCCATTATGTATCTCTCTCTCTCTCTCTCTCTCTCCCTCTCTCTCTCTCTCTCTCTCTATACATATATATATATATATATATATATATATATATATATGAGATATTGAGGAAATTGTAAAACAAAATAGAAAAAGTTTAATTATGACGCGCTGCATCAGCTAGGACTTCATCTTGCAAGCAAACACACGCACACACACACACAATACACACACACACACACACATATATATATATATATATATATATATATGATAAGATAAAGAGCAAATAACGAACTGATCTTAATCTTTATTAAAGTTTCGTCAAAGAATCTGCATCTCTTTGCTTTTTATCATTTCTATCTTGATCTCTGATATCTCTCTCTCTCTCTCTCTCTCTCTATATATATATATATATATATATATATATATATATATATATATCCAAATACAAGGTTGGTATAGATGTAATAAACTTCCAGTAACCAAAAACACTATTTAAAAAAAAGGGCTCAATAAAGATTAGAGCGAAGAACATTTATTTAAAAATTATAACATCATAATATCACTACAAAAATAGTCATTTTGTTTCAACATTTCTGGTGTCTAGTGATGGTGTTGCAAGTAAAATAATTTTTTTTATTTTAAAAATAACTATTTTTGTTGTGATGTTATATATATATATATATATATATATATATATATATGTATATATATATATATATATATATATATATATATATATATATATATATATATATATATATATATGGGATCCAGATAAATTGCTCGAAATCAAATGCTCGACAGTAAAGTGCTCGAAATTAATTGCCCGAAAAACAATTTCTTGAACTATCAATTGCTCGAAAGTCAGATTGCTCGGAGTAATTTCGAAGCACCACGTAAACTGCACCGTCTCACGACACGTCAACGGAGCTGGGATATAAAAGGAGCCACAACACTCAACATTAAAGTTGTATTATTTTATCTTATAGTAAATATTAGAAACAATGTAGTTTTATTTTTTTAACCACAGGTTTCGAGCAATTTGCCTTTCAAGCAATTGATTATTCGAGAAATTATTTTTCGAGCAATTGATTTCCACAATTTTACTGTTGAACAATTGATTTCGAGCAATTTACCGGATATCATATATATGTCGAGGGTTTATGCGTGTATATACATATAAATGGGCGAATGCTGTTGTCGTGAGCAAGTTATGTAAATCATCTGAATGTTATTCATAACCAGAAGCAAGCCAACTATGTAAGAAACATTTGCATATAATCACCTAGAATGAAGAGGCACATAGTGCTACACAACAGAGTTGTAGGACATGCAGATTCAATGGCCCCAATCAATAACACAGAGCTTATATGCCATATAGGCCTCCAATTAGGGACCAGTGCCGTCGAAAGGAGACGGAAGCTATAACAAATTATGCTGGGTGCGAGAGGACGGATTTCATCTGAGTAAGATGTGGCAATCATCACGTTTAAGGGTGTCCCCCAAAATAACAGCAATTATGTGCCTCGAATCTTCTCACAATATTATAAATAAAAACTGAAGATTATTTGTAACTTATTCATTAAAATCGTGACACGCATTCAAAAAAAGTTTTGGCGGTTATATCTTCTGCCTCAATGGAAGCTAAAACTTTTTGAAAACGAGCCTCATTTTTTTTAATCTTGTATTAACATTCTGTGATAAAACAAACAAAACACCTCAGATATCGCATCAATTGTTTTAATACAATCTTGATTATTTTCGTGACTAACGTATTGATGATTTTCATCATTTCCGGTCGTTTCATTTATTCCCCATTTCGAATCACTAGTATTACTCGCAGAATGGATTGTTTTTCCGAAAGCGTGTTCCTTAAAATATTCTCTTAAGTACTGCTAGGAATATTTAAAAAAAGAATACAATAACTTAATTCATATTCTCTGTTCGTTCTTTTTACCAGCCAACCTGGACATAAATCACCAAAAATACTCCGCAGAATTAAAAGCCACAGGAAATAAATCATTCGTTTTAACGGCAAATAAAGCAATCAGTCACTATATCCAATTCGGGTGCAACATTTTCAATCAGACTCTTGGGTGTCTCTCTTGAATACTAGTATGCAAGCATCTATTCCTAATGGTCAACAACTGGAACAATGCGAGATCACCGGATGTAAATTGTATTCTGAGTATACATCATCTTCTCAAATGATTATCCAAAGAGTGATTTCCCGCCTAAACTGGCCAGAATTTTGACTAGTTGTGCAAACTCTCCTTCACCGATTATCCGGAACATTTTGTCATTTATTTTGAATTTCTGGCTATATTTCAAAAGGTCTACGAGTTTTCAATGCTCGAAATATTTAAAAACGACGTCATTGATACACAAAGGATGGGATATCCGTCATATCACATTCAGTTTTACTTTATTTCTTGATTTGCTCTCTTTGAGCCAATAGGCGAAGAAAGTGTCGATCCTGAAATATGTTAAAAAAATACCCCCCCCCAAAAAAAAAACAAACATCTATTGTAATCTGAGATAAAACTAAAAATAATAGGATAGGTCCTGATCTATCATCTCTTCTACAATCACTTTCTCACAGACGTGCTGTGGCTTCCCGCTGTCTTTTCTACAAATATTTTCATGGCAACTGCTCTGATCAGCTATTTTCACTAGTACCCCGACTGCGTGAATTTAATCGTGTTACTAGGTTGGCATCTCGGTCCCGCCCTTTCATTGTCGAAAGTTAAATGTAACCGCCTATTCTACTCCAACAGCTTCTTCGATAGCACTTCTCGACAGTGGAACGCGCTTCCTCTTACTTGCTTCCATGATGGCTATAATCTTCAAATATCCAAACGTAATGTCAATCGACATTTTCTGGTGCCTTGATCCCTCACCTTCTCTATATCTTTTCCTCAACCTCCCCTTTTTACTCATGCTCTCACTCTCTGTAACCCGTTGCATGCTAGTGGCTTTCCCACCTTGCTTTGTGTGAAAGGCTTAAAAGAAATCAATAATTGACGAGCTGGTTGGCATATTTTAATGAGTTGGCAAGATCTGCATTAAATAATAATTCACATGTCAATGCATGTAGATAGTAACGTGTGTTCTATGCACGCCATCTTACGATTCACTGAAGTAATGAAAAAGCACGGAAGCTGAAGCTCTCATTTGATCAGCTCAAAAGTTCGGGCATCGTTGTTATAGGATTCATGATTAGACTCTCTCAATACAGACATGTAGACATAAATAAGTAAATATGTAGACATAAATAAGTCACCTTGTCTGTGCCGTAAGCATGTCCCTCGTATTTCACATCATGTCACACGCCCAACATTTCAGTGTGTGCACATTAATCTCTGCACATCCCAAGGGCGTGATAAGTAGGTTTT